CTTCTTGATTTCAGAGTTGTCAAAACATTAAATAATAATGATAACTTTTAAAATTTGGGTTCTTAGAAATGGTGAAATATGATATCGCCTTGATATTTGGTAGATATATACTTTAGAATAATTTATTCTTGAATAGTAGTTTTATGGAATACTATGATTATTTACCTAAAAAGGCTCTTTATCTCTTTCTAGCATATCCAAATAGAGCAACACATGTGGGACTTTTGACTGTGTGTATATGCCCATCCTACTTTTATACATTTCCAAACCAAGTAGGTTGCTTAGTAAATACTCTTTAATACACATGTTCAAAGTTCTAAATTTGTGTTTGGTGGGCTGCTCTGATCTTACAAAATGTATTCACATGTAATGAATGTCTTAAATGGCTGTAGATTTTTAAAATCGAGAGTAGTTTATTCTTCATTATTTTTCAAAATTGAAATACATTTCATTTGAACATGGTTTCAAAATCATTAACTACTCGAAGTAGTTTCCAGTTACATAATAAGCAGCTGAATCATGTTGAATATTCAGTAATAAAAGAGTTTGATTTTTTTCCCTTCTTAAAAAAAAAAAAATACCTAGGTTTGGAATGTGCTGAGTCTATATAGAGGACAAGAATTTAATTTCAAATAAGTTTTCAGACTACTTCTAGCTCACCAAGTCATAATTACTATTTTGACAGTTATGTCTCATAGACATTTATTTTAATTGCATATGTTAGCAATTCATTTTGGCATGGCAGACTCTGCCATTGTTGTGTTGCCGAATTATGCTTACAGAAACTATGTCAGAAATTCAACATGTAGAGAACAGTAATTAACCTGAATCATCAATTAGCTTTTGTGAATACAGATGTCCTATGAATGCGCTGCAGTTGTTTTTTTTTTCCCCCTACTTTAATTAAGTAAAATCTTACTAACCCTGATTCTTTCTCTTTACCCTCTCTTTCTACCTATTACCAAGTCTTCTTGATTTAATGTCTAAATATGTTTTGAATCTTTCCTCTTTCTATCTCCATTATTGCTACCCTTGAGGGGGGAGGGGGTAAGGTCTTCAAAAGCTTCACAGAAAGTGCATACTATGAAAAACACCCCATGGATTTTATAGATTTCTTGTGCCATGATACACTCATACTTTAAATTCATGTTTCCCCAAACTTTTTGAAGTCCTTTAGTATGTTAACTTTATCTCATTTGAGTTTTGCTTATAGCCCACTGTCTCTACCACACTCACTCTTGCCCCTCTACCTGGCTTCCCTTGGCTTGCTCCTCCATTTTTCATGTCAGTAGTCACTTCAGATATTGCGTTCTCTGACTACCCTGACCTGATCTAGGACTTTTAAATATATTCCACTGGAAATTTTAATTTGTCCTTCATTGTTCTTGTCATAGGTACAAACATGGCTGTGTTTGTTTATATTTTTAATTTTATTTATTTTTGTAGAGAGATTTTTGCTATAGAGCGTGTGCACACGCCGGAGAGACAGACAGAAAGTGGAAATTCACCCCCCAGGGGGGATGACCACGCCACAATCCCTTCTCCTCTAATCTCCTCTCAGGATTTTGGGCATGCACGCACATGCAGCTGGCGTGGGTTTCAAGCTTCTGGGTCTGGGGCTGGAACTGCGGTTGACTATATGGGAACCCAGTGATGTGACCATTATGCCATCTGCTGGTCTCTCTGTGTGTTTATTTTAATAGGCTGTATGTGCTGGGTGACATTAGGTTTTACAAGAGTAGGAATATTTTATTTATTCAATATCTCTAGCCAATTGCACAGCAATTGGCAAATAATAAGGATGTAGTAATTATGTGTTTATAAGACATCGTAACTCTACTGCAAAAGAATGAATTATTATTAAGTCTGTGCCGAAGTGAAGCTGACATTTTTCAAGAACAATTTGCCATGAAAAAAATAACATGAGCATAGCAGCGGTCCTTTTAAAAATGCCCTTTGAGGATTTTAGTGAAACTGTACATAGTTTGGAAATGCTCTTAATTAAAAATGAGTTTTATCATTAGTGAGTCAGATATCTTATATATTTGGTTGGGCATTACCACTTTCTAGCTGTGTGATGTTGAACAGTGAATTATCTTTCTGAAACCGCTTCCCGTTTTACCTGCTTAAATATTCTCTGGTTTGTTACAAGGAGAAAACAGGTTGGGGTAAAAAATGAAATTTAAAGCACTGTTTGTAAGATTTAACTATTTAAGTATGCCAAGAAGATTCTGTTAGCTATTGATTTGATTTTTACAGCATCCTTGACAATAATTTCTAAAACGTCTTTAAAGTGTTCTGCATTTTAGGATTTTCACTAATTTCCTTTTAAGTAATCTATATTCTTAGATATTTTAGATTATCATAGAAATTTATTTTATTAAAGATCACTTTTATTGAAGATAATACCTACTGTACATGTTTTAAATCTATACATTTCAACTTATAAAGATGACAAAAAATAACTTTTAGGTTTATTTTTTTTTCTTGCTGTCACATAAAATTCTCAATTATACTTTTCATCTTTTTTCTTGAAGCTAAAGGGTAGTCATGTCCATAGATTACAAAGGATATTATTAAACTAAGTCCAGTGACAATTTTAGTAATATTTATATTTACTTCAAATGTTGATCACTTTTAGCTAGGTTTCCATGTTCTTATTTTGAATATAAATATATATCCATTATATACATATTTTTCATAATATCTACCTTTAAGTAGAAGGGATATGTATATGCTTTAAAATGAAAAAAAATTCCTCTGAAACCCTTCTGAGTCTGTCTATGCATGCAATTATTTTATATACAGATCTGGAGAAGCATTTGAAGTGCAGTGGTATAGACTGTACTTGATCAATTGATCCTTACATATCTTTAAAGATTTACAACAGTAGTTTACAGTAAGAAGTACTCTTTTATATCTATATTGATGCAGAATAGTCACATATAAAGAAATTTCCCCCTAAAAGTGCATATTTTCCCAGTTGGGCATCAAATCACTTATTTGACAGACATATTTAATTGAATCCTTTCTATGTTTTGCACCAAAGTTTAAGTCCAAATTATGTGATGATAGAGTCCATTCTCCAGGAAGATTCATCATGCTCTTTCCTTCCTGGATGATCTGGAATCATTAGAGTTCAATGAATCTAATCTTTTACTCAAAATCTAGGGAGGTAGTTTTCTTGCTTAGTAAACCAACTCTCATATATTACCTCTAATTATAATAATTAAAATGATTAAGGGCTTTTTATTACTAAAATGAATAATCTTTTCCCACTGTCAAAGATATTCTTGAAAGAAATATAGGACTAATGACTGTAATTCAGATATGACATGTAATATTATATATAAGAAATCTAGTACTGTAATTTTTGTATTTTGTAATACATAGTAATTTATGTATTTATGTATATTATAACTTGTATGTATGGAATAATATAATTTGTGACACACTTTGGTAAATCACAGCATTGAATCTTGAGTCCATTTTAATTTGTGTTGAGTTTCTAGCAGATTTCCCACCAACACTTTGTATTTGGAATATATTTGTTTTACATCAAATAGAGCATGTTCTTGTTTTAGTTAGGGTATTAAGTTCAAAGTTGACTCTTTTTACTAATATTGTATTTACTATTACACATTCTGTTATGCCAATATCTACTGGGTTGTAGGAAAAGTCATGACATATTTTTGTATGTTTTTCTATGCAAAAATTGCATCATGACTATTCTGATGACCCAATATTAAGGAATCTATTAAATATTGTGCTTTAGCATAAGGCTGCTTCAAATGGATATGTTCTCATTCATTCGTATTATTCCTAAGGAGAAATCTGCAGGTTCCTTTGATAATCCAGTCAAGGCTTCTGAGACTATAGAATCCAATATAGCACCTGCTAGTATAAGCTAATATACATAGACCCATTTTCAATCATGATGGTTTAATTTTATGAAACTACTGGTGCAAAAAGTTGGGTTTTAGGGAATTTCACGTGTTTAGCCAAGTTAAAATGCTTTCAAACTTATTCAATATAATAACTTCCTAATAAACCAAGAGGGGGTGGGAATGGATTGTATTACAGGAGCTGGTTAAAAGACATGCTGTAACATGAAAGCTAATAGTGCCTCAAATCAACCAGTTAATTAGAAAGGTTCTGAGAGTACTACAGGGTTTGCATATGTTCATTACACTAGAACTTAAAGGAAGCAAGCCATTATCTTCCTTTGGAGAGCTCTAGTAATAGTATTGCTTTAGGCCCTGACCCTCTTTTCCTATCCTGCCACCATAGACTGGCTATGTTTTGATATTACTGTTTATTGCAGAGTGTTTATAGTGGTTAAAATAATTGGACGCTTCCTACTACACACGAAAACACATAGTTCTGTTCATTACATAGATGGATTACATAGGAAGCTGCTCTGTGGTATCCATTTTGAAAGTTTAGAATGACCTAATAAGAAAATGCTGGTAAATATTTTGAGTATGATCTCTGAGACTCTTCCCTGTTCTTCTTTTCTAATTACCAGAGGGCACATATGCTTTCAGAGAGAAAGAGAGAGCCTGTTGGGATACTGGGCACAAACATACATGTGCCTGGTGTGTTTTTCAAGTTACTAGTCTGGGATTTCATCTGCAGTTGGTCATGTGGGATCTGGCTCCCTATGCACAATGCTTAGCTGCTTTGTTATGGGACCAGCCTTATTCTTCCTTCTTTCTACAGACATTATTTATATCCTGAGATTTGCATCAAAGTTTCATCTAATCAGATTCTAATATGTTTATCGATCATACTGGAAATAATCCAAAGAGCACTGTGTTTGTATCTAAGTGAAATATATTACTAAAAGGGAAGACAAAGTAGTTTATTTTTCCAATAATTGAAATTTTCAGTTGATTATAGGTTAATTTTCAGGCAATATAATTATTATCATAATTATTCTTGTCTACTAAATGATGAATTTGTAACTCATATAGTATTAATCAACACTTGATACTTACTTTGTACCTGGGGCCATTCCAAATGCTTTCACATGTATAACTTTATTCTGTCTTTACAGTAACCCTCTGTTTTTTTTCTATCCTTACATTAACCCTCTGATTTAGTCTGCATGGGGTGTCATTCCACATACCATAGAATGTGTGTCATAAACAGCATCATTTTCTCAGCGTTCCGGAGGCTGGAAGTCAGAGATCAGAGTGCCAGGATGGTTGCCCTGACAAAGGACCTTCTGCTGACTCCAGATAGCTGCCTTCTTGCTGTGTACTCACAGGACCTCTTCCTCGTGTGTATCCAGAGAGAGGGTGAGAGGGCAGCCTGCAAATACTTTGTCATGTCCTTTTTTATAATCGTACAAATTCCATTGGATCAGGGCCCTACCCTTCTAATTTTCTTTAACTTTACTAAATTTCCTTAGATACTCCCCCTTCCAAATATAGGCACACTGGGAATTAGGGCTTTAACATAGGAATTTGTGGGGGGCATAACATTCAGTTTGTACCGCCCCTAAGGTAAATTGTGCTGTGATCATCACCGGTTTGCGGAAATGGCAGTGGAGATACAGAGTGAGGATGTGCCTGGTGTTACACACTAGCAAGTGCTAGAGCTGTGATTCAGATCCAGGGTATCTCCCTTAAGCCTACATGCTCTAAACTGCAACTCTGACTTTTGCTTTAGTGTGAGATGACAGAGAAGAGGTAAAAAGGATAGAGATACTTTGTGATGTGGATAAGAGGTAAGAAAGGGGGACTTAGAAGATTCAGATTTGCTGCTTAAAAACAAAGTTATAAGGCTTATGAGGTTTCTCCGGTAAACAGAGAAATTGATCAAGCTTGTAAATCTTCTATGCATTTTTTCTTTGTTGGTTAGTTTTTCAATCAGCCTTTCTTACAGTGGGGCCTAGATTAGATTCCTAAGTCCATCTCACACTTATTGAATCAGAATCTCTGGGGAAGTGGCAGTGTGAGTATGTGTATTTTGAAAAAGTTCTTCAAATAATTTATATGTATTCTAAGGTTTGAGAACACTGCTCCTCAAAGAGGCAGCCAGTTCAGGTAACGAGATATATATTTGAGTTGACTTATGTTTGGGCAAGACCTTGGTCCATGTTTAAGCTCTTGATCAATGCAGAAAGGTTAACATGCAAAAAGCCTTTTAAAAATAGCTTTCAAAGGAGGATAAATTCTACTTTTAGGTATCCTATTTATAGAGGCAGCATTTGCTCCCCATTGCCTCTCTCCCTATTTGCCTTGGATATTTTTCAGTCCTGTGTTTTGGTTCCATTTCTTGGTTGCTATCTTGATGGTGTTTTATCTGAAGTACTCACTCTCATCTCCTTGAGAAGCCTCCTCACCTTACCACATCATGCCTTTTTGTGTTTGTTCCTGGATGTAGGATATCATACTGATTCACGGACTCCCTTGTCCTCTTTTTTCTAAGTTTGATATTCCTTATAATCTATAGAGTGGTAAGTCATCTACATGGCCTGATTTGTAGGCACTGACAGGCTGACCTGAGACAACACTGTCTGAAAGTCTACTTCCCACTGTGTTACCCACCAACTGCTTACATTATGTGGAGCACTTACCCCAAGATAGGCTCCAACATTCCACCATCAATTCTGATTGGGACACACTTCAGATTTTCTCTATCTCAAATATGAACAGTGCACATTTAGCATAGTAGAAGTACTAAAAGGAAAGGAAATAATTCAGTTTATTAGGTTATTTGGAAAGTCATGACCCATTTTTACATAAAAAAATATGTCATGACTTTCCCAACAAACAAATAGTTTAACCCACCGATGTCCAAATTTATTGAATCTCACCAACCCATATTTTCAGCATAGTTGTGTCCATATTCTGCAGCCTTCATGTTTTATATAAATACTTAGGAGTACTTATATTGCACTGATACTGATTTGCTGGTTGAGGCTTAATTTCCCAAAAATTTTTGAAAAAATATAAACAGCTTACCTGGTTCAAGGAGTATGAATGATTTCTTTTTTTTTCTGTTTTGTTTTGTTTTGTTTTGTTTTTTAGAGAGGTTTTTGTGATAGGGCATGTGTGCTCGCCAGACAGAGAGAGAGAGAGAGACAGACAGAAAGCGAGAAATCACCCTCCAGGGGGGATGGTCACGCCGCAATCCCTGCTGCTCCATTCTCCTCTCTGGATCTTGGGCATGCACGCACTTGTGCCCGGCGTGAGTTTTAAGCCACTGGGTCCGGGACGCGAACCGTGGTTGACTACATGGGAGTCCAGCGACATAGCCATTATGCTAACTGCTGGTCCCAAGGAGTATGAATGATTTCTAAACACCTTTGTGAAAAAAAATTACCACAGGGAATTTAAAAACTAAGCAATGAAAACTTAACCTAGGACACATATGTTTTGAGATAAGTCGAGTATCATGAGAGAATCAGAATTGGAATTTTGGGTGTAACTGGGGGGATTAAAAATATTTTGAATCAGTTCTAGTATGCTTAGGATGGAACTGAGTACAGGATGCCGAAGAATGGAAAAAATGGAAGAAAAGCTGGATATGGAGGTAGGAGATTTGAAGGCAGATCTTATGCCCTTCACAGTGATTTTTAGATGCCAACCATGTCAGCATCCTAAACCTAAGATGTAGATATATATGTGACTGTGTGTGTATGTATGTCTTTCTATCAACCAGTCAATCAAGAGAACTTTAAATGACTAAAACTAATCATCTCAGGACTCTAAAAACAAGATCTGATATGAATGTCATCAGGCAATCCTCTTTAAAACTTTTTAAGTTTGCAGAGTTGCTGAACAAGAGAAGGTCTAATATCCTGCTGTGTGTGAAGACAGGAGCATTACCATAAATTAGAACATGTGGAGCTTTTATTTTTCCTTTTACTTTCAAGTCTGTCATTTTTATTAGTGTTCATAGAATGCCTTTCTCTAAAGACAGACTTTGCAACTTTCTGTAAAGTTTTTGAAGAGACAAATTCTTTAATAAATTGAATGAAAGCAGTGCAGAGAGCTTAGATTTCATCCTTTTTCATTTTTTCTATTAGCATAAATATAATGTACTAGCAAAATTCATGTGTGCCTTGGGTTGTGACTGTCAGGCATCCATTTTTTGTAAACGAATGTAGTTTTTTGAAGTTGATATGAAAGAATGTATCCTGAGAATGCTTTCTTGAATTTCAGCTCAAAATCACGAACCATTCATAGAATGTATACTTTTAAGCCAAAGCTCTAATTGAATAAATGTGTGTTCTATCTAAAAGTTCATACTAAAACTAAGCAGCTGAAATTTTCTCAGCATTTGCAACTTCATCCCCAGTATATAGCCACATGTCAAGGGCCACACCTAACCTACATTTTCAGTTTTCCACATTTTGATTGTGTGAGGGTAGGCTCTTGTTCCTCTTTCAGTTTTATTCCTTTCCCATGTTCCTTCACATGTCCCCTTACTGTCACTCTGGTCATCAACGCCTACCTGCAGGAAAGGAGCCGATAGAAGAGCTCATAATAAGTATTAATAACTGGTAAGGCTGAGCACATTGCAGAGGGAATTCATTATATTTTATTAATGTTAATCCTTATTTGCAAGTGAATGAAGTGTTCTTTGTAAAATTCTATCCACTAGCAATGTTTAGGAAAAGTAAGGCTGCATTGGTTTGGCAGAGGAAGCTGAACCAGCTCATGAGGGTGGATTGTTCAATATTTAGGAATTTTTGTGACTTGGTTGGTAAACAGAGCCATTATTAAATACTAAGTTATATAAACCTATGATGTCAGCCATATTGAGAATAAAATCAATCTCAACAATTGTCATTTCCTAATTGTATTTATTTTAATACTATCTGTGCTCTTAAGATATTATTACTTGTATCAGTGGGGTGTACGACCAACTGCATTATTTGATGCAACTCCATTCAAGTGGCATCATAATGTTAGCTTGGAATTGACCATGGTAGATGTATTTGTACTATGGACAAATACTACAAATAAAGTTTGGTTTATTGTTTTGTTAGTTGACTTGATTTAAGAAAGTGCTGAAGAAAATGTCAATGTAGATTAAACTTGAAGAGTGTACCAGATCTTTTACATTGTTTAATGGGAAGTTTAACTTACCATTTAACTCTCACACAATCAAAATGTGCAATTTTTATGATTTTTACCATTACATTGTTTAATGGTAAAAATTGAGGAAATATTCTCTTAGTATTTAAAAAGTGTTATCCAATTAGCAGAAAGGCACTAATGTCATTCTGACTTATATTTTCTTTACTTCATTTTCTTTGTATTCTTTAAAATATCAAGCAGCAATCTTGTCAGAAATGTTCTGTTTATCAATTCAACCATAGCTTAGCTACTGTGATGGTTGATTTTATGTCTATTAGGGTAGGTCACAATTCCCAGATATTTGAAAAAACACTTTTCTAGATGTTTTTGTGAAGATATTTAGTTTTCGTTTGCATTTTTTTTTTGGTAGTTCACTATACGTGTGTGTGTTCACCAGAGGAAGACAAACACAGAGAGAGAGAGAGAGATAGACAGAGATAGAGAAAGTAAGAAATCACCTCCTAGGGAAGGTGTCCACACCACAATCCCTTTTTCATTCCCCTTTCAGGATTTTGGGCATGCACACATGTTCACCCAGTGTGATTTTCAAGCCACCAGCTCCAGAACTTGAACTGTGCAGTGAACTATGTGAGATCCAGCCACCTTAACCTCCAAGCCACCCGCTGGCCAACAGGTATTATTTAAGTTGAGATTGACATTAAGTCAATAGACTAAATAAAGTGGATTACTCTCCATTTCATACTCTCCATTGTCTAATCAGTTGATAGCCCTTTTCTCATTAGAGAAATTGAGAATGAGGAGTGAAATATGAGCACTTTCAGTTGTTTCTGTTTCTCTGGAGAACTCTAACTAATATAGCTACCAATCCAAAAATTTGACAAAACCTACAAAAGCATTGTGCTCAAATTCCTTAGTTATATGGAATTTCTGTAGTATTGTATAGTGAATTGTGTGCTATACTTTCCTTATACCAGTAACATTTTTTATGAAGTGATTATATCTATATCTATATCATCTATACCTGTATCTATGTCTATACACATGCATATTTTTATTTCCC